ATCTCTTGGGGGTGGCTCCTCTGCCTCGCCCAAGGGCAGAGAATGGGCGCGGCTGTGGCTACCCGTGGTATACGAGGCCGCTCGAGGGTCTCGGAGGACGCCCGAGGCTAGCGAGGCTATGTGGGCGTCGAAGACTTCAAGCGGGGGCGGAGGAGAATACCCACACGCTCCGCGCACCGCTCACCCAAGAACATGAAATCTCAGGAACCGACACTGAGCAGCACCCGGGCTGGTATGTCACGCGGCGTGTTGAGGCATGTTTAGAATGCTTGTTGGTGGTCTTGCAGGGGTTCTTCAGTACTTTTAGAGCAGAGCCCCCCTCGCACCAACGAGTCCTCCGAAAGCAGCCCCCCAGGTTTTGCTCTCTGGCACTCTTAGCGGCCTCCGGTCTGCCTCCAGACAGGCACAAAGACAACTCGAAAACGGTTGCAAGAGCCCCGAACAACATCCAGAGATAAGCTTCAACATGCTCAAAGACATCCCCAATATGCCCTAAAAGGTCCTTCGAGGCTCCCAAGAGGCGCCGAAGGAGACCTTCAGCGAGGCCGAAAAGGCGACAATAATTATCCAGGCGAAGGACCCAACCACATGCGGGTGCGAGTGCCGCAAGGCAGGTGGGACAAAGGAGGGACAGGTCCCTGTGCGGCCACGAAACGTGTGAGAGGTGTGCCGAAATGGGTGCGGGGCCGCCATGCGGACCCTGCCGTGGGGCCTTTCGGTGGAGCTCGCTATGGGGCCACGAAGCGTGTGAGAGGTGCGAGAGAATGGGCGCGGTGCCGCCATGCGAACCCTTCCGTGGAGCATTTCGGTGGAGCTCAGTATGAGGCCACGAAGCGTGTGAGCGGCGTGTGCCGACATGGGCATGCAGAGGGAAGAGGCAGGGATGTGGAATGGAATGAAGAAGGGATGGAGAAGGGGATAAGGAGGGGGGAGGACGCGGGGCAATGTCAACACCACAGGATGGTTGGGAATTGAAAGGTATCTGTTAACCAGCGTGGACCCCAAACAGTAAGTTATTGCACGGTGAATACGCAAACTGTGTGGTTCAAGCTATGTAGTGCAAGCTATGTAGTGCAGTATACGTGGTGCAAGCTAAGCAGAGGCGGCAACAGGCGGCAACGTGGTGAAACCTCGCCGGACCCACCCAGCGCACGAGGCGGCAACGAGGCAGCCACGGGTGGCAACGTGGCGAAATCTTGCTGGATATCACACCCAGCGCGTTCGAGGCGGCAACGAGGCGGCAACGAGGCGACAACTAGGCGAAGCCTCGCGGGACCCACGCAGCGCACGAGGCGGCAACGTGGCGGCAACGGGCGGCAACGTGGCGAAGCCTCGCCGGACCCACCGAGCGCACGAGGCGGCAACGACGCGGCCACGGGCGGCAACGTGGCGAAACCTCGCTGGACCCACACAGCCCAAGAGGCGACAACGAGGCGGCAACGAGACGGCAACGTGGCGAAAAATCGCCAGACCCAGCGCGCGAGGCGGCAACAAAGCGGCAACGAGGCGACAACGGGGCGAAATCTCGCTGGACGCGCACAACACATGCGCGAAATCCGCGTACGAGGCGGCAACGAGGCGGCAACGAGGCGGTAACGGGGCGACACTTCGCCTGAACCCCCAAGCACTGTGGGCGACAACGAGGCGGCGACGGGTGGCAACGCAGCGAAACCCCGCCAGACCCACCCAGCGCACGAGGCAGCCACGAGGAGGCAACGGGCGGCAACGCGGCGAAACCTCGCTGGATTCACCCAGCGCACGAGGCGGCAGCGAGGAGGCAATTGGCGGAACGTAGCGAAACCTCGCCAGATCAGGCGGCGACGAGGCGGCAACGAGGCGAAATCTGGCCGAACCCACCCAGCGCACGAGGACGACGCGGCAACGAGCCGGAAATGAGGCGACAACGAAGCGAAATCTCGCCGGACCCAAAGCACAAGGCGGCAACTAGGCGGCAACGGGCGGCAACGTGGCGAAACCTCGCCGGACAAGGCGGCAACGTGACGAGGGCCTCAAACAGAAAATTATTGCACCGTGGATGCGTAAGCTTTGTGTTGCAAGCTATGCAGTCTAAACCATGTGGTAAAGTATACGTGGTGCAAGCTAGAGGCCGCAACGAGGCGGCAACGTGGCAACCTCGTTGGACCCACCCAGCGCACGAGGCGGCAACAGGCGGCAGCGTGGCGAAACCTCGCCTGACCCACCCAGAGCACGAAGCGGCAACAAGGCAGCAATTGGCGGCAAAGTGGCGAAATCTTGCTGGACAGCACACCCAGCGCACGAGGCGGCAACGAGGCGGCAACGTACGGCAACGTGAAAAACCCTCGCCGGACCCTACGAAGTCCTTCGGAAGAGAGCTAAGAACCCCGAAGTGCAAGCACAGACTGGGGAACGAACATAGCTGGTGTTTGCTTTTTTCCCGCTGCATACCGCACTGGGAAATGCTCGGGGGTCCCCATGGGAGCCCCCAAGATGGCCCAGAACTCCTCCGAGAGAGCCCCTGACGGCCCCGAGACTGTCCGAGATCTTCCCAGGACGGCCCAAGACGCCTCCAAGACCGCTCCCCCAAGCAGGCTGGACCGAGAAGCTTCGGGAGACCTTGGTGACACCATCCCGCCCAAGACGGCTCCGACACTCTCGACAGGCCCCCAAGGGGCGCCCTGCAGGCGCCCCCCCAAAAGGCTCCAGGAAGCCCCAGGGAGGCCGTCGGGAACCCTCCAGGACGCCTTCAACAGAAATAAAAGGAGGGAGGAGGGAGGAGGGGGCTGAGAAGGGACGGGAGGAGGAAAGACAAAGGAGGAGGAGACCAGGGCTGAGGACAAGGGCGTGGCGTTCAAGACCAGCGCCAGCTCGAGCAGAGCCCTAAAGATGCAGGGGGGTCGTGAACTCGGCCTGCTTCCTGCTGCGCCGATTGCGCTGGCACGGCGGCGGGGGTTCCAGCCGACAGCCGGATGGGAGACCCCTCCTCCTCCTCCTCCTCCTCCTCCTCCTCCCCCTCCTCCTCCTCCACAATTACACAATATGAAAATACTCTCCCGCTTCCCCTGATGGCGTCCCGAAGATGGCCGACCCCCCCCCGCGTACTGTTTTTTACACACAAGATTCCCGGGAAACGGGTTTTCGCTTGCGTTTTTTTCAAAATTCTGCTCTCGCTGAGGCGCCGGCCTCATTTCTGCTCCCGAATCGTTCCGAACCGTGCTCCCGCTGCAGCGTGGGCCTCATTTTCGGATCGGTGTTTGGCCTCCGTCGTTCAGGATGGCGTTCTCGCCCCAGCGCGGGCCTCTTTCTCGCGCGCCCATCCGCCCGCCACCACCGCGCCGCACCACCACCACCACCACCACCACCACCACCACCACCACCACAACCACGCACACACGCACGCACGCACGCACGCGCACCACCACCCACTACGCACGCGCGCGCGGAGCCACAGGTCCGCTACGACACGCGTCCGCGGATAGAGAAAATCAGCGCCATGGTAAGGGATGGGAGGGAGGGGTAGGACGTCAGATATGACGCGAGCGCACCTAGCTTGACCTCCTCCTCCTCCTCCTCCTCCTCCTCCTCCTCCTCCTAGCCCTTTCGATCAGGGTAGGCGGCACCCGCCGTCAGGCCTCTCCAATCCCTGAGTGCTTCCCTGGAATCTTGGATTCCCCAAGAACACGCCTAAGAGCATGAACTCGATGGCACGTCCGCGCTGCAGGACTCCCGTGGCCACCCAGAGCCCCGTGTCCCCCCCCCCCCCTCCGCCTTCCCCCCACGAGCACACCAGAGAAAATCAAGAGCACCCGCTTGCGCAGGCATGTACATATCGAGGCGCCCCTGGGCGTAGGAGCCGAAACTCTTTCTCCTTGGCAGGTAATCTTCTCGCTTGTGGTGTTGGCGGCAAGCCGCCCACTGGCACGTGCACTACATTCATCCGGTGCACCCTGAACAAACATGGATGTCTTAAGGTGCCGCCAGGCTTGGGAGCTGAGGCTCTTCCTTGGGGGGGGGGGGGCAGGCCCCGGGATTCAGGCCTCTCGCATTTGGCGATGGTTGCAAGCCGTCGGGCGACACATGCACTACAATCATCATGCTGCCACAAGGAAAGCTGGTCGCCGAGTAAAGGGCAGAGGGTAGGATCGAATGAGCGGCCAGAAAACCAGAGCCCCTCATGAGCACATAGTGGTCCTTGATTCGGCGTCTTGACTGCACATAGGTTGACACAAGCTAGAGCGGGCGAGCACAGACGGAGCCACCGAAACGCGTTACGTTTCGGAGAATGGCTTGGGCACAAATTGCTCTGTCAAGGTCGGAAGCGGAGCGGAGCGAGCGGAGCGGCCGCTCGGCCAGTCCCACGGAACGCCTCCGTAATGCGCAGAGCGAGCGGAGAGGCCGCAAGGACACGATACAGTGAGGCGACGACACGAGTAAGCCCCATGCGACGTGGCAAAGAGGACGACGACGACGACGACGAAAACGACAGGGAAGACGAAGTGAGATGAGGTGAAAGGCAAAATGGGGAGCCCAACACCTGACTGGCCCAGCGCCTTCCACTCGGTGTTCTGGAAAGTTGCATATTGTTCGAGAGGTTCCCAACCTCCCAGGGGGAGACTGACTGACACCCTACGGAAGTCATCACCACAACCTTGCTAATCCTTTCCTAGGAAAGTGCTCCTTTCCGCCTCCAGCTGCTGCACCGAATGTGCTACATTTTCTCCACCTACCCCTCCCCTCACCCGTCTGTCCTCCTCCTCCTCCTCCTCTTCCTCCTCCTCCTCCTCCTCCGCGTCCTCCTCCTCCTCCTCCTCCCCTCCTCCTCCTCCTCCTCCTCCTCCTCCTCCTCCTCCTCCTCTCCTCCTCCTCCTCCTCCTGCTCGGGGTCTCCTTGACACCCTCCCCGTCCTCCTCGTTTTTCCTCTCCTCCTCCTCCTCCCTCCTCCTCCTCCTCTCCTCCTCTGCCTCCTCCTCCTCCTCCTCCTCCTCCTCCTCCTCCTCCTCCTCCTCCTCCGACCGTACCGATCCTGGTGGTCCTCTCTTGACGCTCTCCAACGACTGCCCCGGCGTGCGCGGACCCGCTGGATAGCGCCGCTGCGCCTGGCGGCTCAGCCCGGGCGCTTGCGCAGCAGCGACCCGAGCGCTTCCGGCTTGATCACGTCCGAGAATCTCTGCATCTTCCTCAGCAGCGAGCTGTGACGCGCCCTCAGGGCCTCATGTTCCAGCCTCAGCTTGTTGTGCTCTTCTCGGACAAGCACGGCCACGCCGTCCACCCTCATGGGCAAGAAGAGCCCTCCAGAGAACAAGAACTGCCCGTCGGGAGTAACGCTGCCCGCGACGCCTGAGCCCCAAAGTAGCGTCTGGGAGCCAATCGCCGAGTCGGCAACGTTCTGGCTCTTGAGCCATGCCAGACCAGGTGTGTCCGCCTCCAGCTGGCTGTTGTCGGCAACAAACAGCTCCTCATTGGAGAACTGGCCGCCCGATCTCTCTCTCTTGGCCTTTTCGAGCTGCTCCATGGCGTTCTCGAGCTCCCGGCGGAGCGCGGCCACCTCGTCACGCAGTGCGGCGTTCTCCTCGCGCAGCGCCGGCACCTCGCGCGAGTCGCGCTCCGCGGCCTGCTGCCGCTCCTGCTGGAGCCGCTCGCTGTCCTGGCGCTCGGCCTCGGCGGCCAGCCGCGCGGCCTCGCGCTCGCGGTGTTCCCGCGCGAGCGCGGCCTCAGCGGCCTCGCGCTCCCGCGCGAGCGCGGCCTCGCGCTCCTGGCGCTCCTTCTCGCCCATCGCGGCGCGGGCAGCCGCCAGCTTCGCCACGGGAGTCAGAGTCCGCAGTGCCGCCTGGACGATCCTGCCTGCCCGCAGTGTCGCCAGGTAGCGCCGCAGACAGAAGTGCCTCCGCCAGGCGCCCTGAATGCGAACCACAAACACCTTTGTGGCCTTGGCCACCTCACTCTCCAACAGCTGGTGCATCATCTCACGCATGAAAACTCGTGTCCTGCCAACCTGCCACGACCTGGCTTCAAGGTGCCAGTTCTCCGCCTCGTTCCTTGCTTCTATCTCCACGAGCAGCTTCTGACAGAGATCCTTCCAGTCCGGCTCCCTGCCCTGGTTGATGCGCGGGCAAAGGATGCGGAACCTGAGGAAGAACTCCTTGAAGGGCCGCCGGACGGAGTACCCCGCCCGCCTGATCCGGATCGACTCCAGCATGCCAGCGCACCGCAGCTGGCGCTGGACGTCCAGCGAGTCGAACTCCAGCTCGACTTTGTTGGTGTTCGGCTTGATGCAGCGGATGTACCTGGAGTTATGATGTTCCAAGCTACTTTAGCCTGGATCGCCAGAACGAATTTCGAGCACCAAAACAAAAATGCACCTCTAGGGTTTTCACGTGTCGGGCCCTGGGAGACACTCGTTCGACACTGTTTCGAAACTGTTTCGACACTTTTTCGATACCTTCCCTGGTGCTCGAAATCATTTCTGGGACGTGGTCCTCAAGTACGATAGGAACAGCACAAACCTGGGGTTGGTCATGTTCAGGTCGTCCACCAGCTGCTCCAGCTGGCCCCTGAACATCATGCTGACCGTCACGTTCTGCTTCTGCCTGTCCCCTCCGGTGAGCGTGCGCTGCATCGACGCCCTCCGCGTCGGCGTGAGCGAGCGCGTCGGCGTGGTGCCGCGCGGCGTGCGCGGGCTCGCGTCGCGCCCTCCCGCGCCGGGCGCCGGCGGAGGCGCGCGCTCGGGGGCGAACAGCGGGTCGGTGAAGAGCGTGCTCAGCAGGGCCTGCTTGGACGACCGGAGGATTCCGGTGACGTCGCTGTGCAGCTTGTCCGTGTTCTTCTCCAGGAAGCCGCGTATGTCGTAGATCACCTGGCCGGCGTAGTGCGCCACGGCGAAGTCCGAGGAAGCGAATCTGGTGGGCTTGAAGACGATGGTCGAATTCTTGGAGGAGTTGTAGACCTTATTCAGGCACGTCTCGTCTGTGGAGTTTGGCATGAGGCACTCCGAATCGATGATGCAGAACACCCCTAGAGGCTTCTTTTCGAGAGCATCGATGATGTGGCGGTTGTCCACCCACTGGATGTGAGACCACGAGATGCCCTCCTCTGTGTACAGCTGCTGCTCAAGGGTGAACATGTGCGAGTTGAAATGCTGCTGCAGCTTCTCGTTCGCAAAGTTGATGCACAGCTGCTCGAACGAATTCCACTCGAACACCTCGAAGCCATAAATGTCGAGGATGCTGATCTGCCGCATCTTCTCCGTAGAAACCTTCGAGGCGGTGCTCTTGTTGATCCGCCACACGAGCCAGTCGAACAGGCGCGAGTAGGCAACCTTGGCCATCGTGTGGCGGGTGCTCGACGCGTGCGTGGGGTCCTGCGGCCTCTCGATCACCTTCTTGGTGAAGGGGTCCTGCAGCGTCTTGAACTGGAAGACCTTGACGAAGGCGCCCACCTCGATCGACAGGAGGTCGCAGATGGTCGTGACCTTGCCAAGATTCAGGACCCTGCAGCCCTCCTCCTGCGGAGCCAGCTCCCCGAACTCCAGATCGCCCATGTGGAGGACAGCGGCCGCGATGTGGATGACGCTGTCGCGCTCCTCGGTGGTGAACCCCAGGCCCGCCATGCACTCCCACATCTCGTGGAAGTCGGCGGCGTCGTTCACTCCTTAGGAAGGCACCAACTATACACCAACACCGATCCTGGCCAGGATCATCCTGGGCCCAGGATCGGTGTATACGCCCTCCTGCCTTGGGCAAGAAGGCATATACACCGATCATGGGCCCAGGGTGATCCTGGGCCAGGATCGGTGTTGGTGTATAGTTGGTGCCCTCCGAACTCCTGGGACGTCTGTACAGGTGCTGGTGTAGGCGTGGTCCCCCGGCTCGCCGAGCGCCAGGGGCGGCTCCAGCCCGAGACCCCCCGCGCCACGGAGGATCTGGTAGAAGGCATGATAGCCGCGCTCCTCGGGCTGCTGCGTCACGATGCGGGACTTCTCCAGCAGGTAGTTCGAGATGCGGGAACTCTGCAGCTTCCCGCCCGCGTCGAAGTTGATGCTGATGAATTTGCCGAAGCGCGACGAGTTGTCGTTGCGGACAGTCTTAGCGTTGCCGAAGGCCTCCAGGATGGGATTGGAGCGGAGAACCTGGTCTTCGATGCTCATGCTGAGCAGCGAGCCCCCAGCCTTGGAAGGCGACTGCTGCAAGTTCGCGAAATAGGCCAGGATCCGCTTGGTCGCCTCCGTCTTGCCGGCACCGCTTTCGCCGGTGATCACAATCGATTGACTTCTGCCGTCGTTGAGCATGGCACGGAAGGACGCGTCTGCGACGGAGAAGAGGTGTGGACTGTCCTGCCCCTTCCGTTTCCTGTAGTGGCTCATCTGCTCCTCAGAGTAGAGGCCCAGAATCGACTTGAAAGGGTTCACTGAGATCAGGATGGGTTCCCCTGTTGCGGGGGAGCGTTAGGGGGGGATCCAGCTCAGGGGGAGGGGGGGGAACACCGACCTGGAATCGGCGACAGATCGCCAGTACATCAGCAATAGGCCCCCAATAGCGAATCCGCGCGGCCCGGTGCGGCAGGGGCTATCGGGCCCCAATCGGCGATCATAGGGGCGATTTGGGGTCGATGCACCCCCCGTGAGCCCATCTCCCCTAACGTTGCCCCTGGCCTATGCAGGTGTAGATCTCGTCCCTAAGGTACCGCACGCGGACGTTGTGCAGGAGGGCGCCCTCGTTGTAGTCGCCCAGCGAGAGCAAGTCTGGCACTCCCTGCAGGCAGGCCTCGTCGACGGGGCGCGCCTGGTCCTCGCAAGGGCTGGTGCCAAAAGCAAGGGCCCTCCTCTTCTCCTCCTCCTCCTCCTCCTCCTCCTCATCCTCCTGCTCCTCCTCCTCCGCCTCAGCGGCCTCCACCTCATCCTCCGCATCCTCCTTGTTTAACATCATCGTCATCAAAATCATCAGCAGCAGCAGCCGCATCATCATCATCATCATCATCATCATCATCATCATCATCATCATCATCATCATCATCATCATCATCATCATCATCATCATCATCATCATCATCATCACCGTCATCATCAACATCAGCACCATCTACATCAGCATCAGCGTCAGCATCAGCATCATCAGCATCAGCATCACCAATATCATCAAATCAGCCTCATCGCCATCACTGTCATCATCGTCATCGTCATCATCATAATGATCATCATCATCATCATAACCATCCCCATCCTCATTCCCATCCGCATCCTCATCCTCATCCTCATCCGCATCCTCCTCATCATTATATTATTCATCGTCATCATCATCCCCATCGTTAGTCCTCATCACCACCACCATTCCCATCATCATCATCATCATCATCACCACCATCATCATCATCATCATCATCATCGTCATCATCATCATCATCATCATCATCGCCGTCGCCATCATCATCAACAAAAACAGCATCCGCATCAGCAACATCATCACCAGCATCATCATTAGCATCATCATCAGCAGCGGTCGTATCATCAGCATCATGACCATTACCATTATTATCAGCATCCCCATCGCCGTCGTCATCCTCATCTTCACCCTCCGCATCATCATCAGCAGCATCACCATCACCATCGTCATCACCATGACCATCACAATCACAAGCACCATCATCATCATCAGCATCACCATCATCATCATCATCACCACCATCGTCCTCATCCTCATCAATTGCAAGATCGTCATCGTCGTCGCTATTGTCATCATATCCCTCATCATCATCCCCATCGTAATCTTCATCGTCATCGTCATTATCATCATGACGTTGACTGCGCCTTTCCAAACTATTGCTTGCGGAGATCGAGCAAGCTCGTTCCAAACCGAAACTGCCCCATTTTTTGGGGGACGGGAGGGTTCTGGGTGAACCAAAATGCCTGCAAAGCGGACAACGGATGCCGAGGTGGAGCCATTACCTTGGGGCACAAGCATGTCGTCGACGACTCCTCTTTTCCAGACTACTGCTTGCGAAGATCGAGCAGGCCCGCTTCAAACCAAAACTGCCCACTTCCAGAAACCCCCGCACACAACACTGGCATGGCGAAATGTTCGACAGAATTCACCTGGGAAAAACCCTCGAGGCCCGGCATAATAAGAGAAACGAAGGGGGAACCAGATAGGAGAGAACGGGCCACAAAACCTTGTTGCGCAAGGTAATGGGGGAATGGACGATAGCCTTGTCTAGTACCATACACAACTTCTCGGGGAACACTTGCCTGTGCTACATACGGAAGCCTCCCTTGCCCGTCGGCCGATCCAACTTGTAGTGGGGTTCCCCAGAAAAACTACATTTACTTCTTCCACTGCATCTGGCATTGACCAACCCAGTACACGTGAAATTAAAGAGCTGCATCTTGGTGCGAGCTTTCCATGGCGCGCCCGAAGCGCAGCAATCGATTACATAGCTGGCACAAGCGGCATGCTCTGACAGCGCGGGCAGCCTGTACACTGACCACAAGAAAGACTGCGCTGGATTGATTCTCTTCTGCACAAGGCAACTGATGTTCCATACAAGCGTGGAGCAGGATTCCGCTACGGCGCGCGAGCTCGCTCCCTTCGGCAACGATTTGCTTATCTCGACCACACAGACCAGGGAGCCATCGAGGGCACTCGGCAGCTCTCACCCGATGAGGAAGGTCGGACCACCGCGGAGCACGACGAGCGGCAGCGAGGGACTGGCACGGAGTCTCACTCCACATCCCCTGAACGAGACCTGAGTTGATCCACCCCAACCCCAACAGCACATGTTGGTCACATAACAAATCGCAGTGCAAGCCATGGTCGATGTCCACACAAATGACGGCGACGTCCCGGGCTGCGAGAGCGCCGCCGAAGCCGGAGAACAGATCTTGAAGGACGCGCTGGCCTGCTGGCTGCGGCTGCGCAAGAGCGAGTTGCCAAGCACGGCGAAGAGCACGACGTCTTCCCGCGCGAGATCTGCAATCCGATCAGAGCGAGAGGCGCCGACTTGCCGAGCTGCCGGGAGACCCGAGCGCCCGTCGCAACGCTCCACACGGCAGGGCCCCCGCCCCCTCCGCGAGCGAGCGCGCCTGCAAGTTTCGGGCGCGGTCGAAGCCCCCTCCGCGCAGGGCGCACAAAGGCGGCTCGCCCAAGGAGACCCGCAGGTGCACCCCGAAACCCCCGAACGCGCGGCACAATGGCCTGGAGCCGACGCGGCCCGGACGGCCCACGAAGCCGCGGCTTCCCGGCAGAGCGCGCCGCGCAAGACAGGGCGACCGGGGGCGCTCCAAGCCGAGCAGCACGCTGAGGCCGAAGCCCCTAACCTCGGACGGCTGCTCGAGCTCCACCCGCCGGCCCGACCAAGCGAGGGCCGGGGGCGGACCAACTGAGGTCGCCCGCTGCGCCAGCACGTCGAAGTTACCCAGCGGCGCCGCGCGCCGGTCTTGCTCGCGCCACTGGGGGACCCGCCGTGGGGCCAGCCGCTGGAGACGCCGTCGAGACGCCGCGCTAGCCCAGGTCCGGCGGCGAGAGCCAGGGGGCGCGCCCTGGCCAGAGCGGCCCGAGCGGACGGTCTGCGGCGCGCCACCAGCGAGGGCGCGCGGGAAGCCCCCACGGCCGCCCTGCCCACTGGGCGCGTCGCGCCGTCGGCCGAGGCCGCGACGGCCGTGGACAGGCGGGCCGCCGCGGAAGGCCAGGCCCTCCTCGCCCACGCGGTCGAAGTCGAACGGGCCCGCGCGCCACCACCACGCTGCAGGCAGGAAGCCGACGGCCGACGTGGACAGCCCGCGCCGCCCAGACACCCGATCGCGGTCGATGGACACGACTGGCGGCGTCGAGGGCGCCGCGTTCCGGAGGGGGCCCACCTGCCGACGAGTGCAAGCCCAACTGCTACGGAGAAGGCAGTCGACGCACGGCACTGGGAACTCATCGCAGGCGCAGAAGAACGCCCCTGAGCCTGAGCACAAGCACTGACACGTGATCTAGCAGAGCACGGGAATCGCGGAAACTACAGCCCCTGGCCATACGACGAACAGCCCAGGACCATACGACGGCACTTGAGATCCAGGAACGCCTCTCCAGTAACCAGCGCACGCAACTTTCCAATCCCGAACTAAGAAAGCCGCGGGGACCTCCGCGAACCCCCGCAAACGCCCAAGCCTCAGGATGATGTCCTTCGAAGCCTCCGGAATATATACCTTCCGCTCATGTTCCAGGGCCCGAGCACGGGGCGCGCCCGCAAAGCTCGGGAAACCACGGGACCGAGCTCGCTCGCGAAACCGACCAGTTCCAACGACTTCCCCAAACCGAAGCATTGCATCCGAAGGCACGGCCAGCCCACGGTCGCCTCACGCAGGAACGAGCGAGGGGGAGAAGAGCACAGATCCAGCGAACTTCCCGAAGTGCCGAGAGCCAGGGTGGCCGTCGACGGGCGCAGCTCTCGCAGAAGGAGACATGGAAACTGTAAACCTTCCCCATGTAGCATAGAAGCTCGGGGGCAAAACGAGAACGAAACTGCGACGGGGCCCGCGCGTCGCTCCGGCCCCTGACCAGCGATGCAGACCGACCGCTCCAAGAGGCAGCCACTCGCAAGTGTGAACCTCCGGGGGCGGCCAGCCTTCGGCCGCCACCCCCCCCCCGAGCCCCAAAGAAGGCAAAGCCGATGAAATCGTGGCCCCCTGGCTCCAGCATCTCCAGCGAGGAAACGACCCCACGCGATTTCAACCTCCCCTGTATCCCCAAGACCGCGTTGGACGCATTCTCAGCGCCCACGCCCACGCACTCAAAACTGTCGATGCACAATGCACGCAGCGACCCAACCCAACGTCGCCGAGGGCGGTAGAAGAGGCTTATCTCAAATCTACGGAGCCTCGGGGGAGATACATCAGAGCTGGCGGGAATTCGCGGCCCGCGCAAGCGCCACCGCCCTAGTCCACGTCATCGGCGCCACCCAGGCCCGCCGACGGGCCCAACCCAGATCGCAAACCGCATCCGGCTACGAATCGACGAGGTCCGAGGGCACGCGGGCCGCGGGGATGCGCGGCGGCCCTAAAAAACGACGGGCAACAGAAACTGAAAGTTGCAAACATCAACGCCCCCCCGGGCGCAGCACCGGAATGACACGCGGCTGGCACTCCAAGTGGGCGAAGCCTTCCCCGGACGGCAGCACGACATCCGGGGGGCCTTTAAACCAAAGGTTGGACACGCGAGAACCCCGAATCAGACAAATTGTGCCCGACATCTTCCGCGCGAAAAACACGCCACTCTCTCCGACCGCACCCTCGCTGGCCCCCAGCACGCCGGCGGCCCATCGGTCAGGCAAACCCCCCAAGAAGACTAGGGTTGCCCCGAGGCACGGGATCCCAGGACACACAAATAAATACACACAAATAAAAGCATTCCCCATATTTCCCCATATTTTCTGGGTTTCTGTCTTCCCCCCCCACACTTCCCATATCTTCCTACATTTTCTGGGGAATCGAGGATTAATTGTGTCTGTGTGTTTCTTTTCCTCCTGAGTCCAGAAGAAGGCGACAGTCAAACTCCCCCTTGCGAGTGGCCGCCTCCTCCTCCTCTGTTACGTGGCTCGGACAATCTTCAGGCGCGGGCCGCAGCCGCGGGGCAGGCGGCAGGCGGCCGCGGGCGGCGGGCGTGCCAGAACGCCCCGCAGGAAGAGAGTCATCCCCTCGCTCGAAGTCCACGCGAATACCGACGGCCGACGCATCCTCTGCCCAGCCGGGCCTCACACCCTGGAGCGCCGCCCACGCCCCCAGGGAGCTCACGCAATCGGGTGGCGCGACGTC